AATGAGTTCGTGGCAAAATGTAGATCGTAGAAAGTATTTACATTATTTTTACCATAAGAAAACTTCTTAAGCAATAATCAGCTCTCATGTTAAAAAAGCACACACATAACCCAATAGCAAAGAAATGAAATGAGTTAAAAATGTAATAGCTTTATCTTGGGAATGCTGTTTGCTGGAAAACCATCTTACTAAAAAAGGTTTCAGAAAAACACTTTTATCTTGGATCCATGTATGAATATTTAGCGCAGCTCAGTGGGGAATATGGGAATATTAATATCGTTACAATTTTTATAACTCCTAGACCTCCATTAAGAAATTTTCTGATGTATCTTATAAATGGATTTTCTTTTGCAGTGCATCCAAATAATTGGCTTTTAAAAAACAAAAATCAATGTACCAATACATGCAGTCTGCTAACGGAAAAAGGCTCTGACATGCCAAAACAATTTTCTCTTTATCTTGATATATAGCACATTCCACAAAATACTACAGCATTTAATTTAGATTTATACAACTAAATATAAATGGCTAGCTTTCAGGTAATACTTAGCAGAAGCATTAAGCAAACATGGATAAATTCATAAACAAATGTTGAAAGAAGTAGATTGTTCTTACATACTTGACCTTAAAACACTTGGTCCTTAGTGAGAGAATGTCCTTTATTCAGTAGAGCTTAATACATTGTATAAAGTCCTAAAACCTTCTAAACTTTTAGCAGTTGAATCCAGTAGGGCTCCTTGATTCAAGGAAGGAATGAAGTTTGTATTTCTTGCCTGCTCTATTCACGAAGGATGTGTTAAAAGTCTCCTTAAGGATTTTTTAAAAAATAGTTTCTATAGTTGCTAGGTGTCTTGTTACTTCAGAAATAAAGTCTTCATACTGAGAAACTGAAGGACACTTTTCTCTCTGTATTTAGTTGAAAGGTAGAAAGAAGAAAGAAAATATAAGAAAAGCTTGAAGATAAGAGGGATATAAACTATAGGGCAGCCACTATGAGAACAGCATGCACAGATGCAACACGGGAACGAGAAGTGACAGAAAACCAGAGACAACTTTTGAGTTGTTCTTCATAAAATAGTTATCTGGTCTATTCTTACCAAACTAGTAAGTTGTAGCCCCACAAAAAAGTTCCCATTATATACTGGTAAAATTAAATTTAAATTGAGAGAAAAATAGTTTTTAAAGGTTTGCTCCCCAAGCTGACAGGCAAAATCCTAAGGCAACCAACTAGTCTTTACTAGTAAGTAGGACAGAAAGCCAATGAATTCAGCAAGCAGTATTTAATCTGTTAATGCAATGTGCACTTGTTCTCATACTTAATTCGGTTAGTTTGTATAAATGAGACTAATCTCATTTACAGTTTAAGCAGTAAACTCACCACTTGGCCCACATGTCATGCAGTGGGGTAACTGAATTAGGAGCTTTGTTGCTCCCTAGACCTGCTTTTTGAATTTCTGCTTTCTTGTACTTTGTCCACATCTGCAGGAGAAAAGCATTTCATATTATTTAGTCAAATGTTAAACATCACACAATTCATGAAGATAAACTAAAGAGTTTTCATTAAGGCACAGAGAGAATTTGAAACTGGGAAAATTAGTAATCTGATAAATATCTCATTATGTGAGGACATACATATGCATATATATATTTTATATATTATATATATGTATTTTTATTTATAAGACAAGGTCCCCCTATAACCGCAGCTGGCCTGGAATTCACTATGTAGACCTTGCTAGCCTTGATCTCACAGAGATCTACCTGCCTCTGCCTCCTGAATGCTGGGATTAAGGTGTATGCCATCAGGCTGTTTGTGTATTTTAAAGCCATAAACAACAATTATAAAAGCTGTAACTATTTTAAAAGTCTTACAACAATTATACCCCCCCACTTAGTAAGTTTGCTAAATTGTCACCATTTACTTTTAAATAAAATTATTTATGTGTATGTGTGTATTGCCAGCATGTCGTGCAGGGCCTGCGGAGGGCAAAAGAGGCCATCAGATCCCCTGGAACTGGAATCATGGATGCTTGTTAGCTGCCATGTGGGTGCTGGGATTTGAACCCAGGTCTTCTGCAAGAACAGCCAGTGGTCTCTTTTTTTTTGTCTCTTTGAGACAGGGTCTCCCTGTAGCCCCAGCTGTCCTGGAACTATGTAGACCAGGATGGCCTTAAACTCACAGAGATCTGCCTGCCTCTGCCTCCCAAGTGCTGGGATTAAAGGCAAGCACCACCACGCCTGGCTAGCCAGTGTTCTTAACTGCTGAGCCATCTCTCCAGCCCATCACCATGTACTTTTAAGTCAACAAATAATCTTACAACACAACAGCAGAACACCCACATTGTATTATTTACTATGCACATGAGAGCTGAGGCATATTTTGCAAATAATATACCTATTTACAGTGGTTATAACTAAAATTGCTTTTCTCAGTCATATGGGTATAATTTGCTTTAAGCTACGTCAGAGTAAATAAAGTTATCAGTTTTATCATGTATAAAATGAGGACACAGCCCTTTGTGGAATTACAGGTCCCGGAGGTATCTTAAGTAGTGCAGCTGCCTGAGTCAGAGTTGCTCTTCTTAGACGGCTTCACTATTTTTATTTTTACCATTTATTTAAACTTTCACTTACAGAACTATTATGCTGTCATAAAACTCTTTTAGGGAACTCTGGTTCCATGTGATTACTAAGGGTTTTTTTTGTCATCTCCACACCACTAAAAATTTGATTCTGTGTGCTTGTAGAAATACAAGTAAGACACTAGTGTGGTTTTGGTGAAACTTTGATTTCATGATGTGACGTTTTCTAGAGGAAGTTAACCTGCAATCTCAGACAATCCTCAGGAAACACGAACACAGTATTTGTCTTACATGTACAATGTATAAGTACTTTTGAAAACATGCTATATATATATATCCATTAGGTAGGATATAAAATGAACCATATAGCTTTTAATATGGTATATGATTTTTATTGTATTTTGAACTGAGTTGATGAAATTTTAAAGTATTTTTAAATTACTTTTTATTTAAAAGTTTTTTATGTGAATTAGTGTCCTGCCTGCATGTAAGAATCAAACCTGGATCCTCTACAAGAGCAGCAATTGCTCTTAACATCTGGGCCATCTCTCCAGCCTCTTAAATTTTTTCTTATTACTATTATTTTATTTATGCATGTGTGTACACGCATATGAGTGTATGTAGGTGGAGGTCAGATGACAACTTGCAGGAGTTGGTTCTCTCCATCTTGTATTTGGGTGTGGAATTGAAGTCAAGCTGTTAGGCCTGGTGGCAGGTGCCTTTACTGCTGAGTCATCTTACCAATCCACAACATTTTAAATATAAAAAGTGTAATGGCCAAATTTATGTCCGAAAATTTATAGTTTTTGAAATAATCTTTGACTTGAATAGGGGAAAAATAACACTAAGTACATTTGTATCATATGTGGTCCATATCAATCTCAGCTATGTTTACCATACAGTTTTATTAGTAAGTTATGAAAACAGAAAAGGGAAAATATTAACACCAAAAATATTTGAAATATTAAGACTAGGCAAAAACTGATAGTACAAGATAATGATATCTGCTCGTGTATTAAGTATCTTAATTAGGTGGTACTAAAAATATGAAATATTTTTACTTGTGTTTATTTGATTACCTGTACCAGAATCATTTTTAGCTATAAGAGAAAAAAAAGCATGGTCAGCAATATGAATAGAAGGGGCCTACCCCATGAAGATCTTGTGAGTAAAAGAGGATACCTTAATTTACAAAGGATACAAGAATTTCATTGAGCAAAGATTCTCTGCAGATTTTTTTCCCTTTGATCCAGTATTGACAATAACAACTTAATGTAAAAAGAATAAATTAATAATTTCCTCTTTACTTAGAAAGCTACATATGGCCTCCTGTCTTAGGCTGAGTTATTATCAGTAATACTTAGGCCGAACCAAAATTATAAAAACATTCCATAGAAAAAATATCCTCTAAAATAAGTTAATCAGGATTACAGACTTTTAATATTCTGGGAAGATTCAAGATTAGCTGACCTTCTTTAGAGTGATCTGAATATCTAAAGATAATTTAAAAGTATATGAAACCGAAGTCTATTTGTAGATATTATCTGTCTCTTATGTAGGTTTTTTTTTTCAGTAGGCCCCAATCTGTTGGCAGCTGATTACTTCTGGGTGAGGAAGAGCTGATTTAAAGACTTAAGTCTTTTTGAAGCAGGGTCTCCCTGTAGCCCCAGCTGTCCTGGAACTCACTATGTAGACCAGGCTGGCCTTGAACTCACAGAGATCTGCCCGCCTCAGCCTCCCAAGTGCTGGGACTACAGGCATGTGCTACCATGCCCGGCAAGATTTTGTTTTTAATAAAAGAAATTTTAGAACTAAAAATAAATGCATACTTTGTTGTTTATAAGTTGTTTATAAGTCCTAATTTTCTACTTTCTTTCTTTTTTTTGGTGGTCTTTTTGAAACAGGGTTTCCCTGTAGCCTTAGCTGGCCTGGAACTCACTATGTAGACCAGGCTGGTCTTGAACTCACAAGAGATCTGCCTGCCTCTGCCTCCCAAGTGCTGGGACTCAGGCATGCGCCACCACACCCGGCTTACAGTGTATTAATTTTTAAAGAGTCTGCCTTAAGGACGTACTTATACAATTTAGTAATAATATTAATGACAGAAGTTAATTTTTTCATAATTAAAAAAACTTGCTATCCTTTTTGAATAGAAACAATAATACAAATCCCCAAGATATTGAGTGTGACTTGGTTTATTTCTCTTTGACTCATGTATTTAAAAAGTTGAAAATTTTAGCTGGGCATGAAGGTGGACGCATTTAGTCCCAGCACCTGGGAGGCAGAGGCAGGCAGATCTCTGTTGAGTTTGAGGCTAGCCTGGTCTACAAAGTAAATTCCAGGCCAGCTGGGGCTACAAGGAGACCCTGTCTCAAAAACACCAAAAGAAAAAAAAAAGTTGAAAATTTTTGTGTTAAAGGATTCCAAATAAATAGTCATCTTGAAGGAAAGTACTTAAGCTATTGTATTTATCAGATAAAGAACCGCACAAAGAAGAGAATTAAAATACAAATGCTCCTAGCCACTGGGTAAATCACATTTAAATATGATGGGAATTTCTAGGAGTAACACTACATTCATGAATAAACAATGTCTTAATGTGTACAATATTTAATAAACATGGGCATTAATTAAAATTAAGTTGAACTGTGATTTCTTTGCAAATAACAGGACAGAGAGCATATGCTAATTAAGTGACAAAAAGAAAATGACATTTTCAAAACCATACTTTCCTTATTAATACTATACATGTGCAATATGGAGTGCACATTCTGGAAAATAAGAAAGTAGAGGGAGGAGGGCAGGGGCAGGAAGAGAGCAAATGAACACTTTCAGAAGCAACAAAACAAATGATTTGGATATACCTTCTTGGTAACAGAACATGCAACTATTCTAACATGCTTCTAGATAACAAAGCAATGTTTTATCAAGTGACAAAAGATATGAAAAAGGAACAGTATGGTTGAGGTTTTTAAAGGCATGCAAAAATGTACAATGTAATTAATATTCCATGCAGACTTTGGTGTGGTTACACATTCATGTTTATATACATCCCTTTGTATACAGTTGAAAGTCTATGTAACAATCTTAAAGTAAAACTATAAATCTAGCCAAATGATACTTTTCAATAGAGCTCTTTAAATCAGAAAGAGAAGCGCAATATATGGTAAATGACATCAATATATTATGCAGTTTGATCACACACAACCATATTCATACCAAACAGTTTGATTATCCTCTGAAACCAATAATGCAGACTCTCTGTCATCAAGATAGAGGCATGCAGGAGTGATACGATTATTGCTATCTACAGAGGACTGTGGGTTACTATTACTAGAATTCTGACTATCAGAAAACTGTTCATTATCTTTACCCAATGAGGTTTCTACCTCTGGCTGGTCAGTTATTCTGGTAAGTGACTTGGGAGGTAACCCACTTATGTTACTAACTAATTTTGTGTTCAGGGATAGAAATGGCTGAGATGAATGAACCACAGTAAATGACCCTATGTTATCTTTACTTGATATTCCAAATGCATCATTAGACATTTTGACAGTGGCAAAAGTTTGGCTTAGAAAATATGATCTTTCTGTTCTTGAGTTTCTGGCCTGGGCATAAAGAGACTCAGGCATATCTGTAGCTAAATCATTCTGGGCATGAGAACCTACAGCATATGTTGGAGTATGAAGTGCATGAGAGGACCACTGCTGTAAATGGTACTCACTAGATGTTGCAGTGATGTTGCTATCAGCAGTAGGCGGTGGTGCATCAACTGACACAGGCAGTCTACTGTCCTTGGTCAAAAAATCATGGATGCTTGTCCTTCGTGTTGTTCCTTCAGCAGTAGAAATCACACTACTTGCACGAGGTAAAGTGGCATAAGGATTGCTATCTTTTGATTGTCGTGACAGAGAGGTTTCTTTTACTATTTTTATTTTTCCTTGAGTGCCTGGTGTAGGTTTCCCTGCGGAACTAATGAAGTAGGCATCTTCAGTCTTTCGAGGACCAGGTTTCACAAATTCAGGCTTAGTTGTCCGTCTATCATAGAAGTCCCCTGGGGTTTTTCCACTTACTGACCTGGCCAGGGCACAGCTAATTGGCTTGTCTTTTCCCAGAAAGTCAGAAGAGACAGACAAACTTTTCATTACTTCATCTAAAAGATTCTCTTGACTTGAGGACTTCAACTGTTTAAGAAAACAACAATACAGATTAGTGAATCTATAGCCATGTTTAGAATTCCCAGATATATCACACTATATACTTAGAGAGTTGATGGTATCTCATAACACTCTGTATTATTTTTTTTTTAAAAGCTCTAAAGTTCATTCACAAGACTTTAGTGCTATTCATTTAAATTAAGGTCACCATATATAAAACTAACCTGTATTGAGGTAAGCTTGTTGCTTTCTTCCAAGAACTGTTGTAGAGTAACAACTTCACTTCCAGGGGAACCAGTTTTAATCTTGTGATGTGCTCGACTTTCTAGTGTTTCAGGCATTTTGTGCTGGAGCACAGGACTTGACCTGGTCTGCCTTTTCAGGTACTGGATTGGACTGCTACCACTGCTGGACCAAGCCTCATGATCATGAAGCAGGCTAAATTCCCCACTGCTGTGGCTTTGTGGCCTGCTTTGGTTATGAACTGCACCTGCTTTTGGAGTAAATGCTATATTGAGACTTCAAAAATAGAAATGAGATTAATACTATGTAATATTGTCAACTGGGCTTGATTCCATTAGTAGCCAAACTTCAAACTTTATTTAGAATGCTCATTATCAGCCTAGCAACTGGATGCCGGAACTTTTTTATTTTGTTAAACTGACAAACTATAAATTGACAAAAAAAAAAAATACTGGAAGTTCTATAATACATTTTTATCACCATACTCAAGCCTAAGGAAAGTCACATTTTAAGGAAAGTCACATTTTATAAAGCAATCAGTATGCTAAATATACTAAAGACTAAATGAAAGAATAAATTGAGTGATAAATATTAAAAATTCAGGTTTAAATTAACTGTAAAATAACTTACAATACAGAACAAGAACATGGTAAGAATTTAAAATTTCAGAATGTTAAAACCCAAAACTTTAAAATGAAAAAAAATCAATTCTTTGCTTTGATAAAGTCTCAATTACTTGTAATTCTAAGGTTATACTAAATGAACTAAAACATTTAAATAGCACACATGAAAGAGAAGTCAAATGGAAGCATGAAGCAATTAGACAATTCCAGGAAAAATATGTAATAAAGTATGTATATATGTATGCATGTACATATGTATGTACATAAATCAGACAGAGTATCACTGTATGACCTAGGCTGGTTTGGAACTTGTTATGTAGTTTAGGCTGCCCTAGAACTTGCAATCCTCCTGCTTTGGCTTTCCAAATGCTGGGATTATAGGGACATAAGCACTATCTTGGCTTATTCTTTCTTATGCCTGAATGATCTGGCTGACTCTGATTCCCACTGTTAGTGTGTTACCATAAATCCACTTTAAAAGACTCAGCTGAGGTTGAATTATATATAGAATAGACATCAGTTCTGGAATAAGGGTCCTTAAAAAATCTATGATATTCATTATATTAATTTGACCAATGGTAAACTATATATCAAGAAAGGGGTATCATCATAAAGAGTAAGGGGTCATGGGAGAATTGTCTAAAACACTTTTCAGTATTTTGCAGAAATAAGATTTTCTTAAATTTTCAAATTAGAAGAAATTCTTCATATTCTTAGCCTTTTTAAATTAAATGATTTACAAAATGAAGAATTAATCCCCCTCAATATCATGTATTTTAGATCACTCTAAAGTCATAACATTAATCATAAAATTATGACTGAGACAAATGCATTCATTATAATTTATCAATTCTAGACTATAGAGAATAACTATAAAAGATTGGTTAAACAAGTCCAGAATGTGAAAAGGCAATATATTTTAAGGAAAAAAGTATTAGTTGAGGTTTCCAGTATCTACATAAAAACCTCACCTTGGAATATATTAAAACATTAAGGAAAAGGAATTTTTTAAAAACATTTTTATTTTATGTGTATGCATGTTTTGCCTGCATGTAGGTAAGTGCACCCGTGTCATGCAATGTGCCCGTGGAGGACAGAAGAGACCATTTGATCCTCTGGAACTGGAGTTATGGACAGTTGTTAGCTGCCATGTGGGTGCTGGGATATGAACCCGGGTCTTCTCTAAGAACAGTCTGTGTTCTTAACTGCTAAACCATCTCTCCAGTCCAGGAAAAGGAATATTGAAATAATTTTATGAGCCATATGGACATTCATACTTTTCTGTTGTTATTTTTTGTTATTTTTTTCTTTTTTAAGACAAGAGTCTCCCTGTAGCCCCAGCTGCCCTGGAACTCCCTATATAGACCAGGCTGGCCTCCATCTCACAGACCTGCCTCTACCTTCTGAGTAGTGGGAACAAATTTCTTATGCAACATACATAATTGCTTCTCAAAATTAAAAAAAATCTTAGCCGGGAGTGGTGGCGCACACCTTTAATCCCACCACTTGGGACGCAGAGGCAGGTGGATCTCTGTGAGTTCGAGGCCAGCCTGGTCTACGTAGCGAGTTCCAGGCCAGCTTGGGCTACAGGGAGACCTTGTCTCAAAAATACAAAAAAAATTTCTCATTTTGTGACCAAGCTAAAAGTATTTCTGAAATATAAACAATCCAAGTTTAATGCACATACATCAAGAAAAAATTAAGGACAACTATTTAAATGTCAAAAGAAAATGTTGTAAAATAACAACACACGAGTAGTTCTGAAGTACAAAAAACAGTGAAGACAATTTTACCCATAAAAACGAAGAACTGAAACCAAAAGACTGCTCCTGTTTTCACATTTGTACACATTGAATACATTTGTATTACAATGTAAAAAGTGCAAGTGTTCCAAACAACTATGTATCACACACACAGGATTTGGAATTTACACTTCATCTCCAGACACTTATCCCATTCCCAGCTTTTTCTTCTCTGGATCTGAACTGAACTCAGGCAGTGCCTTATTCATGCTAAGCAGGTGCTCTACCACTGTACCCCATCTATCTCTCTCCTCCTTAAATGTTACTGGAAACTGTATGGAGCACATAAATAAATCCACCTACAGCATACCTTTGATTTCATGGAGTGAAGCATTATTATTGCTATTACTAGTGGATGTTCTGCCACTATCAAGGCTGGCTGGTCTTGAAGCTAAATGAAAAAACCAGGAGACAGTGTGATGAAACTTCCATGTGATAACTCTGCATTTTACATTCTGATCACAGAATGCTTTGAAGAAGCAACCATGCATACTCTCCCACAATGGGCATGCATACAGGCAGGTAAGTCTTACAGATTGGAAACAAAGACATTTTTTGATGGTTCAGTAAGACACTTTAGAACTGGACACTTCTGGAATAATGGCTGAGATTAAATGAGAGGGGAAGGAAGGAAGGAAGGAAGAAAAGAAGAAAGGGGATGAGAGGTGGGAAAAAATCACATTTGTATTTGAAAAATGATTTCCGGATGGATGCCATAATTATTTTTTAATTGAATAGAATGTTCCCATAGTCCCCACCAAATGTTAGTGATTAGGTAACAGATCAGACAAGGACTCTACACACTTCACAGATGGCATGAAGTGGAGGAATATGACAGTTAGTTTCCTATAAACTTAAAGCTTCTATGTACGGAACTGGAGAGATGGCTTGGTGGTTAAGAGCACTTGCTGTTACTGCAGAGGACCCAGGTTCAGTTCCCAGCACCCACATAGAGGCTCATGATAGCCTGTAACTTCAATGCCAGGGAATGACACCCTCTTCTGACCTCTGCGAGCACTGTGTGCATATGGTGCATCTACATACATACAGGAAAAATACTCAAATGCAATGCATGACATAAAAATAAATCCTTTATATTGTGTGTGTGTGGGGGGGGAGGTGCGGGCGTGCGCGCATGCGCATGAATGCAAAAGCATATGTACATGTGGGGAGATCAGAGGACGACTTTGTGAAGTTGTTCTCTCCATCCACCTTTATGAGAGTTGCAGGCAACCTTAGGCTGCTGGGCTTGCATTGCAAGTGCCTTTACCCAATGAGCCATGTCGCCCACTCCTAATAGTCTGTATTTCTCTCTCTCTCTCTTTTTTTTTTTTTTTGGTTTTTTTGAGACAGGGTCTTTCCTGTAGTCCCAGCTGTCCTGGAACTCACTATGTAGACCAGGCTGGTCTTGAACTCACAGAGATCTGCCTTCTGAGTGCTGGGATTAAAGGTACACGCCACCACACCCAGCTCTATATTCTTATCTGTACACAGGAAGCCGTACAGTCAACACTGCCCCATACTATGTCTTAAAGACCTGCTTATGAAATTCCCTTCAGTATGTTATCTATTTGCTAATAATAATTTCATTTGGTAGAATGTGATTTTCCAAATAGGAAGCTAATAAACTAAAATAGTACTGTAGGAAGTTTGGCTCTTTATGTTCATCTTTTATCCAATTAAGTATTTAAAAAAATCAACAGTAAAATGCAACTCGTAATTAATTAGCAAAATTACCTCTGAGGATTGTACAGGCATACTTTATAAACGACCTTGATTAAAAAAGAGAACACTCGGATGAAACAGTAATTTTAACAGGGACAAAAGGGAATATTAGATTTGAAGAAATGGAAAGAGTAACTAAGAGATGCAGGATAGAGAACACATGCTTGCTGGCAAGGTCACATTCACCTATTCAGTGCAAGAATCTAGCATTCTCATTCAGTATTTAATATGTACTCTCTAATTTAAGTTCATAGCTTACCATGAACTCTCGATCCCGTACTAGAATCATCACTAATACCTTGTGGACTTACGTCTTCAAAGGATGTAGTATCTACACGAAATAGCAAAATGGATATAAACACATTTTGTTATAAAACAATTTCATTATAATATTTACAGAGTATAGAAATTCTTTTTCAGTCACACATATATATCTTGATTCAATGTATTCACAAACTCAGCCAAAAACTGGAACTAGAAGAAAAGAGTAGCTCTGATGAGAACTGTCTTGCTTACGGAAAACTAGAAGCAATAAAACAATCTCCCTTGTGACTCTGGAAAGCAAGCAAAAATTTGGATTGTTTCATGTGGCTCTCTGAAGTTGTAGTGCTTTCATGTTTTAGAGAAAACATACCATTCCCTTATTTCTTCTAATCTTTTACCTGTTTTACTTCTTCATTTCTTATAAGTTGACTATGAGAGAAGGCCTAGCAAAGATTTTAATTATTTATGTAATATCTTAAAATTATGAAATAACTTGAAAGTTTCCCCAAATCAAATCCAGATCTTGGCTTATAATTATTTCAAGTTATTTGGAAAAAAGTGCACAGGGAAGTCAAATTAAAATTCCCGTTGCCAACAGTTACACACCACAGTGCAAAGAGCAGACGACCTATACCTTTATTATTAACCAACTGCTTGGGTCGGAAGCCTGCAGAGGAGTTGCCAGTTGAAAAGTTGATAGCTGTAGTAGAGAAGGCCATAGCTCCCAATTCTTTTCTCCTTTTACCCGTGGAAATATCATCAGGAACCTCCAAATTCTCAGTACTACCTGTCCACTGTCCTGCTAGGACCATGGACTGCACCAGGTCATTCATGGCTGGGATGCAAATGAAAGCAAATGAATCAGCATGGTTAATGTATTTGCTCTTCTCTTTTGTATTATAAATAATCTGGTTTTAGTGTGAATTAATGCAAATGGACTTAAAAACTGTAACTACAGGCCATTTGAGTTAAGACATGCATTCAGCTGAATGAAATGGGGTCAAGAGCTGATAAATTTCAATACTTTTATCCCCTCCCCACCCCCCTTAAAAGACAGAAATGAATTTTACTCTGTACAATTGCCATGCTTTTGTGCTGTGATATACAATACATTAGAAGCCTTTATAATGTTGTTTTGTGATGACAAAAATGAAATGAATTAAGATGGAGAGCAATTTCTACATAGTATCATTGAAAATGAAAGAGTCCTTGGTCAGAGCAGGTTACTGAATAAATTCTTCATTTTTATATATCCAATAAATATACCATTGAATAAAAAACCTGAAAGAGATACTCAGAGTAACAGACATTTAATGTGATTATATAATTACCCACTTAAAAAAGAAAACCGAGATTTATATAAAGAATGACAAACATTTTCAAAGGTGATAGGCCATTTCATTTATTTATTTATTTATTTAGGTTAAGGAAATAAATTCCTAATGCTAAAGGGTTTGTTATGTTTTTCTTAAATAAATTTCTTTGGGGAAAATTTTGTATGGCATATAGAATTAAGGCCTTTTTTTTTTTTTTTTTGCCAGCTTTAAGAAAGCACTGGAAATTTACAAGTATTATTACATGTGTTACTAAACATATGCATGTATATGTATCAGGAGTATACATATTATAATGCAAATTCAGTGCTATCTTTGAAAAAATATTCTTCCAGCTCCTTGTATTAAAGGAAGACTGCACTTTGTAAAGTAGGAATTAGCACAGTCCAGAGAAAAGTTAGTGAAAAATTAGTGATGGAAGCCAGTGTAGTCATTTGAAAGAAGCTGAACTGTCATAAAGTCTTACACATGGAACGACGGTAGCAGGCCTTCACTTTGTCTTTATCCTTCGGTCTGTTCCTCAAAAAGGGCAGTCTTTTCAGTGCAACCACTTTAATGTCAGAGCATGAGGAAAAACAGAAACAGGGAAATGAAAGAAAAAAAGGGAGAAGAACAGATGGGAGTTAAATGTTGAAATTAAGGACAGAAATGAATGTTTGAGTTTCAGCTATGTATGCTATATTAAAACTAAAGTTCTCATGCTGCTGAGTGACAATGAATAGGAAACATGTACTTTGATACTTTAAATACTTGGAAAAGCACTGAAGACAATGGTGAGGAACACACACTGGCTACAGTCCTGTAAAAACAGGACTTACTAGAATGACTTAGGGAGAGACCAAACTTCCTAGTTAAATTATAAAAGTAAACATAAAATTAGGTGATTGGTGGTTCATACTATAAATGATAAAAGTGCATAAGGTCCATAGAATCTATTTTCCACAAATTTTTTAAGTTAAAAATTATTTTGAAAACAGTTTAGGAAAATGCATCCTATCATAGTGTCTTAGCAATATATGTGTGCATGTATCTACATATGCATACAGATAACACATAAACATCAAACAAAATTAGGGTGCTATTTAAAGCAAAATAAGCCTACTTTAAAAAGAATCACCTTAAAATTTTTACTAATCTCCCAAACTTTAATAAGGAAAACATCGGTTTAAATTGGAGTCTAAATGCATTCTTTAGCAGCACCATGGAAATACACATTCTTTCAACCAAAGTCTTTCTAAAAATAAAACAGCCATTATATTAAGCTCATTTTACAAAAAGTTGGTTGAGAGAAAGAAGAAAAAAAAGAATAGCTTGGCAGCAGTAGTACGTGTTAGCACTAACTAAGCTCTGAAAAAGCTAAAGTACCCCCAAAGCAAGCAAAATGAGAAAAAAAATATTTTTCTTTTCTTTTTGAGGTGGGGTCTCATTATGTAGCCTATGGCTGGCCTGGCCCTGTGTAGACCAGGCTAGCCTTGAACTCACAGAGATCCACCTGTCTCTGCCTTCCAAGTATTGGGATTAAAGTCATTCACCACCAAGCCTGGCTTAAAAATATTCTGAAGGCCCTTTGGGTGAAATTTATGGGAGGAGAAAAAAAAAAAAAAAATCAAAGGAAGCACTCTGTAAAAAAAAATTGTTAAGGATTATCACTCAAGTATAGGAATCATTATAACAAAAATTAAGCTATACCTTAGTAAAATTTAATATACATAGCCTTAAAAACTATGTTCTTAGAAGGTCTTCACATTATCTTGTAAATAAAGTTCTTTTGATAACTTTGGTAAGTACTCATTAAAGAGGGCACAACTGACATACAGCTTTTTAACTTGTTTGGCTGCTGTAAAGAAAAGTCAAGATTCACTTAAGCTTTTTAATTTGACCTATATCTCTTCATGCTTGGTAAACACAGTTTTTTTTAATGATCAAAAAAAAAAAGAACTGAAATCAATGTAAAAATGGACACATGCACATGTCATGTTACATACTTTTCTTTTTTTTTCCTTTTTCTGTTTTCAGCTGTTTTTCAAAGACTGCTTTACTGATATGACAGACAGACATTCTTCCAAAATGGACAGAATAAAAATAATTTAAAAATTTCCAGGGATATGATTCTTCTCATGTCACTTAAGTTTGGTGACACACAATATTCTTTTCTTGAATCATAGTTAAATTAAGTGAACATCAATATAGTTGGGTTTTACGTTCATTTAAAAAAATTCTAAAGCTGAACTGTAGGAAAGGAGAATATTTTTTCCTTCTGATTCCTATTTTTTAACATATTTTTATGTGTATGGGTGTTTTGTATGCATGAAGTGCACCATGTTGTTCAATGCCCATGGAGGCCATAAGAGGGTGTTTGGTTCCTTGGAACTGGAGTTATATAGATGGTTGTTAGCCACCATGTGGGTGCTAAGATTGAACCCGGGCCCTCTGCAAAAGCAGCTGATGCTCTTAACCGCTGAGCCATCTCTCCAGCCCTGCTTCCTTCTGATTCTTATCCTGAATGTTTCAGGACAGAGTAAAATGACTGACTTTAAAGTCAAACAACATGATGTCAAAAAAGAATGTTGTGTTTTCACTGTATGCTCAAATACCTATATTATCTTGTTAAAAGTTTAAAAAAAAGTTAAGTGCACACGTTAGAATTTCTTAACAGGATATAAGATCTTTTGAGACAGGATCTCCCTGTAGTTCCAGATGACCTGGAACTTGCTATATAGATCAGGTTGGCCTCTGATCCACCTGCCTTTGCCTCTGCCTCCCAAGGGCTGTGGTTAAAGGCATGTGCTACCACACCTGGATAAGGTATTTTTGTAAATTAAGGTATCAAAAAACTACCTATCAGCCACCTTTAAGGAAAACTTGATGACAGCAAGAGATTTGGAGTAATAAAAGGATCAGAATTGTATTGTTTTCTAGAGACTCTTACATATACACTATGTATGTATCTATTTTTTTCTTTGTTATCACTTATTCTCTAGGCTGCAATATCTAGACCCTGAATATATATGAGTAACTTTCTACAACCTAAAATACCACCTTTTTCCAGAGATAATTCACCTAAGACTAAAACACTGCACCATTTTAAAAAGTATTTTGAGAGCCACCCATGTGTACAGTCTATTTCTGAGGAAGCAGCAGCTGCTTTTGCTTGCTATTTATTTATAAAGACTGTATTTTGTTTGTTTGAGATAGGATCTCATGTAGCCCAGGATGTCCTTGAACTTACTAAAAGCAGAAGATGTCCTTGAACTCCTGATCCTGCTGCTTCTATTTCCCCGGTGCTGAGATTACAGGTGAGCATTACCACAGCAGGCTGTGTGTGTTTTAAAATTAAGTGACACTTTGGTGATATGATCCTTCTAGTATCTAGTTCTCATGTATTTTATGAAAACACTGACAGTCAACTTTGTGGACATCTTCAAAGGGCTTAGTATTGAAATATTTTCTCAACATATACCTTTTTAAGCTTTTACTTTGATCTTGCTATTTAGTTAAAAAGCACACTAGCAATGAAATAAAAGGCTATAAATTGTATAGGGCATGTTATGTGGTACTTCTAAGTCTGTAATAAATACTTATCAACAAGTTTATACACTTACATTTTCCATCTTTATTTTACTTTAACAAAAACTTTATAGCAAGTATCCCTCAACAATTTTTACTTATTTCTTGGTCTTTTTGAGACAGGGTCTCCGTGTAGCTCCAGCTAGCCTGCAACTATGTAGACCAGGCTGGCCTTGAATGCACAGAGATCCACCTACCTCTCCTGAGTGCTGGGATTAAAGGCGTGCACCATCACCCCTGGCTCCCTCAATAATTTTTAAAATCTTCAGTTATTTCTAAATAGTTCTGGATCACCTCTTCAAATTTATATTTACTTTTCCTTTTCTTCCCCCAATGTGGTAACTTTATTCCCATTTGATACTATCAAAGTATATGAATAAAAAATCTCATTATAAAATGCCTTATTTTAAGTTGTAGATATTAATAAAATACAATCTTATTCCTATTTCTTACTCTTCATACTTCTCTGTAAAGTATAAAACACAAGTAAAGGCCTGCTGCCTATTTTAACAGAACCTTCAAGGGGCACAGGAAGCCTAGCTCTTATTTCAATTTTCTCTTTTACAGTATTTTACATCTCTAGCCAAGTGATATGTTTGTGTATGGTACATGTTAGAAAACTGTGTGGTTATATACTACTGTAGTATGTAAATAACTTTATAATCATATAAAATTAAAATGTCATTTATCAAATCAAAGGACTGCTGGAAGTTTTTTTTAAAAGGAGAATTCTTTGGACAGGATTCTAAATCAGTACTATATTTTAAGCATTTAAGCACTCACTGCTGCTTTTCTTGGTCCCCAAGGTTTGGCCATCTTCTAAAGAGTTTGACCCTACTGAAGAACTATCTTGACTATCTTGATGGGGCAGTTGAAGAAATCCCTCACTGGAGTCTGAGCGGGTGGGTGTCAATGTTAAAGATTTCTGACGTTCCCGATTAATGTCTTTCTTTGACTTTATCAATTTTCTCATTTTCAGAGTAATCCAGTTGCCTCTCCTAATAGAATTAAAAAAAAATTCTTAGTCTAAAATTCAACATGTAATCCTCACAAAATTATAAATCTTCACAATACTAGAAATAAGGTGTTTTTCAAAATAAGATTATAAAATTTGATTAGTGGTACCTTCTAGGAGGAGATGGGTCATAAAATTTGTATTGATCCATAATTTTCTCTTCTAATTTTTCTTTCTGTCGTCTCAATTCATTTAACTTATCACTATAAAAAGAAAATAAGACTTCAGAATATGCATGTTTATAAGCTATCAATAACATTGAATGATTTTATGATGATGACCTCACTTCTTTCCAGAACATGAACATAAACAGATACAGGTGCATTACTGACAAATAAGACCTAGTTAGGAAGCAACAATGGGGTTTTTCCATATTGCTCCTTTTCTTTACGTTCACTTAAATAAGGGGATATGGATTTTTAAGTGTCAGTTCTTCAACAGAATTTGTTAGAAAAAAATTTTCTGTATTACAACCACACCATACAATTACCTCAACATCTTTTTTTAATAATAAAAAGTTTTAAATAAATACTATACCAGGTCGGGTGTGGTAGTGCATGCCTTTAGTCCTAGCACTCAGGAGGCAGAGGCAGAGGCAGGCAGCTCTCTGTGAGATCAAGGCCAGCCTGGTCTACATGGTAAGTTCCAGACCAGAGGGGCTACAGGGAGACCCTGTCTCAAAACAGACCAACAAAAAGAAACTCCCCCGCAACCAAAACTACTAGCCAGCATTATTTCTCTAAGTGTAATTTACTAAACATATAAATGAATATTGTTGGATATTTAGTTTATAATTATAGATATAATAATAACTAATCTTGAAAAACATCTTCATGGGCCGGGCACAGTGGTGCATGCCTTTAGTCCCAGCACTCGGGAGGCAGAGGCAGGCGGATCTCCGTGTGTTCAAGGCCAGCCTGGTCTACATAGTGAGTTCCAGGACAGCTGGGGCTACAGGGAGACCCTGTCTCAAAAAGACCAGAAAAGAAAACATCTTCATGTGCACAGAGTCTTTCATTTTTGGTTTCCCTTACTCAGGCTTAATTTATTTGTAAAGAATTATTTCTGAGGTCCTCCCCTTCAATGGATGAATATACCAGTTTTACTCTTATTCTCATTTTCATGTTCTTGGTAGTATTTATTACATACAGAAACATCAATGATCATGGAACAGGGCCTTTAAATCTGCAATGTCAAAGAATGTTATTTACTCAGCAAGTATTTAGTGATCATTTACAATGAAGAGGCATGAAGCTTATATAAAGTAACTGCTTATAATATAGTGAGAGAGAGAGAGAGAAGATATTCATGTAAGTAACAGTCACAAACCAAGGTGATAATAGTAACCAAATAAAAACACTGTGGAAATACAACAGTGGAAATACAGGTATCTACAAAAGGGAAAATAGTTCCATCTTGGATGTTCAAAAAATACTCATGAAGAAAAGGCTATACTAAGCTGGGTATGATGATGCATGCCTATAATGCTGGCTTTCAGGAAGCAGAGGCACGTGGAATACCCAGTTTGAAGCCAGCCCTGGTTTACATAAGAAATTCCAGGTTAGCTAGGGCTGCACAAGACCCTGTTCAACAAGAAAATTAAAAAAGAAAGCAAAAAGGCTGTATCACAAGGCTGGCGAGATGGCTCAGTGGGTAAAGGTACTTGCTGCCATGCTTAACAGCTTGAGTTTGATTCTTGGAATCCACAGGGTGAGAAACAACCCTCCAAGTTGTCCCTTGACTTCCACATGCATGCTGTGGTGAGTGCACATGCCATACTGACACACACAATTAATGTTAAAAAATTAAAAATTGAAAAGGCTATATTACATTGGCCGAAAAAGAAAGATGAGAAATCTAAATTAAGTCTGAATATAGGCAGAGGGGAAGCAATGAGGGGATGTGGGGTTTAGATTTTGCTCAGTAAGAAATCAGGTGTTTTAAGTTTCATTACAAAGTGATATGAAATCTTTGCCAAATAGACTAGGATACTTCACAAAGGCCAGAGGTAAAGGGAATACTCATGAGGCTAATGGCATATTACAGAGCAGTTTGAGGTGAGTTAAGAGTGGCTAGAAACCAAACAAAACTGATGTGAGTATACAGAAGAAGATGCTCTATGAATAGATGCTGTTAACAATTAACAGCACCAATGCCTGGACCTTAGGCCCATGAAGTCTGACAATTGAAGAGTTCCCAATTCTATTTCCCTTTTATCTGCTGAAATATCACACAAATCTCCAATTTCTCAGTAGAACCTGTTCACTAGGACCAAGTGATAGTGGCATTTAGCTAGAAATGTCTCGACACATAAGATGGTTATTTGTACAAAAATTGATAGTATTTGGGGCTGGAGAGTTGACTCAGCAGCTAAGAACACTGGCTGCTCTTGCAGAGGACCCATGTTTGATTCCTAGCACACACTCCAGTTTCAGGGGATCTGACACCTTCCTCTGACCTCCGCAGCCATTGCACAACCTGAGTGCACTTACATAGACACAGGCAATATAAACATACACATAAAATATTAAAAAAGATTAATATTTGAATGTCAACTATAGAGATACAATCACTGAAACCTGGAAATGAATTAGTGTTTAAAGGTAAGACTAAGACAAGGAAGTTTTGGATTAATACCTCTGCTTAAGGCACAGAAAAGTCAAATACCATGAACTTTTTATGTACTTGGTGCTTCTTAACCTAAAATACCACTTAAGGCAGAGAGTAAAGGAATACATACCCCCAAAATGACTGAAGGTGTAGTCCAAAGTGGCCAGCCACAAGTGTGAAATTTCTTTGAGATTTTGCATTTATCTTAAAAGTTCATGCAAATTCTGCCTTTGTTCCATGAAACACCTGTGTATTAATATAGAAGTAATGTTCCCCACCCCAAATTCTGTAATAAAATTGATGCTTCAGAAAACTGTCTTACATACCCTAGTTTCATGTGCTTCAGCTTACATCAAGCTTGAAAATTAGGCAAGTATTAATTCATTTAATCCCTGGGGTAATCCTGGAAATTGACATTAGCTCCATCTTACAGAAGTAGCAGCTAATGAATAAACAGAGTGACTAGCCAGTAGTCATACAGCCACTGAACTGAAGAATGGGATATGCACAAGGAGCTGTTTGCTTTCAACATCTGGCTATTATACTATGGAGCTTCCCTTAGTGGGGAAAAAGGGAGGGAAGAATTCTGTGAAGACAAATCATGGAAACACTACCCACTGAACTGCCAGGGCCAAATATGACCCTTATTAGATTCTTTCACTCTCAGTGGAGATACAACATCAATAATCAAGCCAGCCAATTTGATCTATCATATCTCTCTGGTCATTTGGTCTCAACTCCATTGTATGGCACAGAAAAACATCTGTGAACTGGCTCCTGATTGTTAAGCCACTTCTCTGCAGATCACCCTTCTTTTACTCGGTTCTAGAGTCATTTTTAAGTCCCACACCACAACAATATCCTTTCTCCATGTTTGTGTTTCTGCATCACTGCTTTCCTGGCCCAACATGCCACCTCAAACAAATCTCTATAGTACCTCTGAGTCTCAGCATGTCTCATCTTTGGAAAGTCCACCTTGCCCTTTCCAGACAAAGGTACTCTAGCATTTGCTCTACTTCTATAATCCCTAACATATATCTCCCACTATAGAATTATGATAAATATTTACTGCATTTCTTGCTTTTCATTTTATCTGGATGGAGTCTTTTTATTTTTAACTTTCTTTGAAGCAGGGTCTGATGTAGCCTAGGATGACCTTGATTAGCTGTGTGGCCAAGGATCACCTTGACCTTCTGATCTTTTTGTCTGTCTCAGGAGTGCTGGAATTATAGGCAAGCTCTACCATACTTGGTTTAGATACTTGGTTTAGATGAAGTCTTTCTATTGTCCAGTATTAGTCTTGAACTTGTGAATTCAAGCAATCTTCCAACCCCATCTCTTAAGTGCTAGGACTATAGGTGTATGCCTTGTTTATAATACTAATTATTTTGGGCAGGACTCATATGTTCTTACTATTTCTGGTCATTAGCACAAATGCCTGAAATACAAAAAACTAAAATAAACTTAAAAAAAAAAAGCCAGCATACTGGACATATTGTGCTTCCTCCTTAACTTTATCTCTTTGTTGCCAGAGTGCTACCATCATTGGTCTCACGCTTGTTCCTGGAAAGGGCCTGCCCCAGTTGGCTCTGCAGTGTCACAGCAGCATGACCACCTGCCTGAAACTGACACCTGACAAGGTGATGGAGCAGATTTACAAATGGGCCAAGAAAGGTCTGACTCCTGCACAAATCAGTGTGATCCTTGATACTTGATGCTGTACAAGTATGTTCTATGACTGGCAATAGAATCTTGAGACTCCTTATGTCCAAAGGACTTGCTCCTCATCTTCCTGGTATCTCTACCATTTAAGAAAGCAGTTGCTATTGCCAAGCATCGCAAGAGTAACAGAAAAGATGGATGCTAAATTCCATCTGATCCTGAGAGCCAAATTCACCAACTGGCTTGTTACTGTAAGACTAAGCAGATCCTCTTACCCAAAGGAAAATACAAATCATCCACAGCCTCTGCTCTACTGGTATGAATGTGTTTTGTATACTTGTACAATAAGATAATTTTAAATTAAAAATACATATTGAAATAATAATTTTTTTTTTTAAATCAAGAAAGGACTGGAGAACTGGCTCAATGGTAAGGAACAATGGCTGCTATTCCAGGGAATCCAGGCTCAGTTCTCAGCACCCACATGGTAGCTAACAACTGCACATATACTTCGGCTTCTATGGACAATGCATGCATGTGGTGCACTTACATACATAAGGCAAAATAGTCATACATGTAAAATGAAAATGAATACATCAAGAAAAACAAGCATGAATCCTCTCTGCCACTTGGTACAGTAGTAACATTATGGGTAATATTTAAGAATATAAAATTATTCAGTACATACATATACTGTCGTTGTTCAACATGAAAGAGATCCTTGCTTTCCATATTCTGCTCCAGCAATGTTCTGTTCTGTAGCATTAGTGTCTGAATTTGATCTAGTAGATGTCTATTTTCTTCTTCCAAATTTCCTTTAAGTTGGCTGAGCAACTGTTTAAACACAAAAATTTATTTTTGAAGATACATTTTGAAGACAAATCACCTGAAACATCTAAAATACAAAGTATTCCATGAAGACTTAATTCTTTCATTGTTTGAAGAATAATTTGCACTTGATCAGAATACTGAATGTCTTTAGTGATGATAACAACTACAACACTAAGTAACACGGCACATGTATATATCTTAACTCTTACAAACACTGGGTTTAATATATCTACTTCCAAAGTTAGCCCTTTCTGTCTTCAGATCTGTTTAATTTACAGTTCAAGAGCTAGATTCAAATCTCTTATCTTCTATTTAAGTGGCCAAGAAATACTGGATAGGTTATGTATTTCATTCTTAAATCTAGGACAGCTCATATCTTGTAAGACTGTTCCAAGGACTAAATAATTTACATAAAGAATCTGATTGTATACTAGTGATGAGGTAGTAACTTAATCTCATCCTGCTCCCAAACAGTGTTTTCAAGTAAGCTTAAAAGTTTATGAATAGTTTTGGATGGCTTGATGAAAGGGAGTAAAGTAATTTAATCAATGATTAGAACTACCAGCTCTTTGGGCTTTTTGTACATAGTAGAAACTGGAAATATGCCCTAGCTAGGCCTCAGTTTCTAGTAGAAGTTACAAACTCAAACAATTCTCAAAATTAGCATTCAGGGCCAGAATGATGACTCTGAGGTTCAGAGCACTGACTGCTCTTAGAGAGGACTCAGATTCAGTACCCAGCACCCACATTGTGGCTAGCCACTATCCCTAATTCCAGTTCCGGGGGATCTGGTGCCCCACAGGCACTGCATGCATGGGTACACTTAAATATATGCACATAAAATAAAAAACAAAAAAAAATCAGCATGCATTCTACGGTAGATTTCTGGGCACCAGCATTAGGATTCAGTAGGTCTGGAATGAAGCCTAGAAATTTATATTAATAACAACAAAACTCAAATAATGCGTATCCCTTGCAACCACTCTGCTCCTACCTCCAGGAAAGGAAAAAGAGACATTTTAAAAAAAATTTAAAGGTACAGAAAACAAGGAAGAATGTTACTTATGAATATGCACAACCATGTAGATCCAGTAACTGCCAATACTGTGCCATGTTTGGTTTATTTACTTATTTTTTTTGAAATGTTTTAGAAAGGTCTTTATTTAGAGTTCTAAAAATAAAACCCTCCCCTCAATGTTAAAGTTCTGTGTCAGTTGCATGTTATAAATGATGAAAGAAATTTAATAAATTGTCCTTGGCATATGAGTGTTTTCTACATTGATTTCCAAAATCACTCTTCTCATTATGAATCCAGGAAATTTTACCTAATGAAGATATAGCCAATATTTTAAATGAATATTTTAAAAGTAGGAGTTTGTGATCAACCTGCTAAGGTAATCTAAATAAGCTATACAAATTCTAAATCATCAGATAAATGCACTGGAAACTCTCCAAATAGTTTATAATTTTTCTCTTTTAGAACATATTTCTTCACTTCAAAATGGATATCTAATTATGTAGAAACTTGCTCAAAGGATTAATCCAAATGCTTAGACATGTAAAGGCTTTTACAGTAATTTGTTTTGGAAAACAATCTATCAATATTTTGAAGCTGCTTTAACCTACTTATACTATTTGTAAATTCATGCAACTGAAAGATGAACTATCAACACCTCAAATGTAGTGTGGTGTATTCAAAATAGACACACCCAGGTTTTGATTTCAGATTCACTCTTAGTCATGTGACCTTTAAAATAACTCCTACCCACAACAGTGTTAAGAAAACTAAAAAACAGATCAGTAACTTAGTAGAATACTGACAGATCCTCAGCACTTTCTCATAACCAAAATCAGAGGTAAGTTTTCTGTTTGTATTTAGTTTCAAAATTACACCTTCAGTCTGTACCAACCATAGTCCCTAGCTCTCTGTAGTTTATATAGCTCAACCAACCAACCTCCCTCCCTCCCTCCCTCCCCCCCTCCCCCCTTTTGGTAACTCTGATAGACTTAAGTTTTTTGTTTTGTTTTTTAACTTCTACAAAAACTTAACTTCATACGTGCATATAAGGTATTTTGATCAAATCCATGCGCACTCCCTCCCCTCCAACATCCCCCCGCCATGAAGAGGTAACCCTAAAATCTTTTAAGGATTAGATACAAGCTCCCAAATACTTTTGACATTTTTGGCCTTTGGAACAGAGTATGTTGTTAACAGGACCAAGGGCATTTTGACTTTTAGCCAAGAAACTTGCTACATTTCTTTGGGGTTGTTTTACCCTAACTGCCTAGCCAATTCCTACCTCCTATTCTTATCACGCCATCCTGGGAAGGGGTTACCCAAATTGCCAATAGGGAATAGGGACGCAGACTGCTCTGGCTTCTTCCATGATGAACAGGGACACAGACTGCTCTGGCTTCTTCCATGATGAACAGGGACGCAGGGTGAGGCAATTGGAGTACACCTTTAGTGGATCTATCTAGAAGACTCCCAAATAGCATAACTCCTGTCTCTAAGGGGAAAAGAAAGTCCTTGAATCGTGACTAGGAGATGGGAAGGAGAAGTAAAGGCAAGATTAATTAGCATTACAAGTTCTAGACAGGGAACTAGAAAAAGTCAGAACAGGGCAATTTTCAAATGTTCATATGAGAGTCCATTGGAGTTTCTGGACATTATTTACTTATTAAAAAATTAAACATAGCATGGTAGATTTATTGAAAAAACTGAAATGTATTTGTTTTCTTCCCTATGTATACTTATTTTTGCAACAGTTTCAAGTAACCCTGGCTGGCATCAAACTTGCTATGAAGCTGAGGGCTACTGAATTTCTAATACTCCTCTCTCCACCTTACCATGCTCCATTTATACTGTGCTGGGGATCAAACCCAGGGTTTCATAAAGGCTAGGAAAGCAGTCTACTAATTGAACTACATCCCCAGCTCTGCTATCTATACCTTCTTCCAGTATGAATTCTCACTCTTCCTATCAAGGAGTCAAAGCTACATCCCATTTTCTTGAATTTGGAATGCCTGCCCAAGGGAAAGTGGATGTGACAGTGACAGTTTCAAGCCTAGGTCCCAGGCCTCCTGTGTTTTCACTCAGTCTACCGGGCCTGCTGGAGAATGAGAAACCAGAAAGGGTGTAATTTTTCCTTAATAAATCTGTTTTGATTTCCTATGTTACTCTTTTGAGTTGTAGAGTTCTACAAGTTTTTTTTTTTTTTCTTTTCTTGTTTCTTTCTTTTTTAAGTTTTACTGAATTGTCATTTCTTTTTCTTTTTCATCTTTTTGAGACAGGGTCTCCCTCCAGCACTAGCTGGACTGAAACTCACAGAGATCCACCTGCCTCTGCCTCCCAAGTGCTGGGATTAAAGGTGTGTGTCAATATGGCCAGGCTGAATTGTCTTGTTTCTTAAGGAGCTGATTACCATGCTCCTCTCCCACTCTAGAACAATCCTAACTATATATACATTTTAGACTCTTAGGTAGAATGAATGCTCTGAAATTTCTGAACTCTGTCGAGTACTTAAGTGTATATGCTTTCAAACTAATTTTCCTTCTTTCTGGTTTAAAATTACATGCTACTTATACAAAAACATTTCTTTTCATTAAACAAGTATATAATCTGACATTTTGAAAGCATCTGGACATGTAAGTTTGAACTAGTAAAATGGAATGAAATTAATGTATTCTTCTTAATTACTTATGAATTTCAGTTGTGTGTGACCAATTCTTCTAGAAACACACTGGTAAAGTACCACAGTGTGGTTAGTTACTTTTTAGGCACATCTTGACACCTGAAGGAAGCAATGATTAAACTTGTTAAAGCTCACCTCACACTGGTTATTGAGCTTGGTGGATGTGATGTCCAGCTGCTGATACTGTTCCTTTAGCTTTGAAAATTCAGCTTCTAGTCTTGTTTGCTCCAGTTTAGAATTATTTAGAAGACTTTTCAAATTTTTATGTTCAGTCTGTAAAATTTCAGTTTCTTTTAAAAGCAGACTATATGTATGATTTAACCTATGATTAGAAACCATAACAAAAATAGACTTCAGTAGTTGTAATAATACAAAATTCTAATTTATTGTAAAATATTTTTAAATTATAATTTACACAATGTGAAAATGCTATTAACATTCATATATATTTGGAAAATGTAAAAATTCTTTTGTTAGCTGCTAAACTAATCAATAATCAGTTTTTCTGTGAAAATTAAAGGATGATTAAAGGAAAAAGGGGAAAACAACAAATTCAGTTATGATTTCATGGAGATTTTAGACTCAAAATTTCAACATGAACAAAGATCAGATCATGATAATGAATCAATCTGTTATTAAAGGTTATGCCAATATGCTGGCTGAAAATGGAAATACAAGTATAAACCAGATTTTAACCACTGAGATTTCTGTAACTTTGGAAAATTATTAAGTTATACAGCCCCCAAATATCATTTTATAAAAATCAAACTATAGCCTTTTCTTTATCTTCCCACCATTTACCTTCAAAACAAGGTTCACTGATCTCTAAGGACAAGGATTGATACACTTTCTGTAAAGGACCAGACAATTAATGCTAAGGGCTGTTGTAGCCCTCATGCACACCTTTCCCACCCCACTGACCCTTCAAAATATAAAAACAATTTTTTTTTTTTTTTCAGTTTGGAGGCTGTCCTGACACAGACAGATGGCTTGATTTGACTGGCTAAATTGTAATGTGTCAATCTTATCTTATGGCATGAAGATTAAGAATCCACAAAAAGGAAGGCAGCTAAAAAGGCAAATTCTTGCTCAGGATGGTCTTTGTGCAGAACAAATAATACTACACTCAATTTATTCCTCAAAAAATGTAAGTCAGTCTAGAAAAACCACAGTAATACTTTTTTTAAATCAAGACTTGGTTTGAAAAATGAAATGGCAAAGCCCCCAAAGATGGCAAATATACTATCTATAGGTGAGACCCATGAACAAAGGCATCATTACTCATAATTGCTGTCAAAACCTCACTGACCTATACAGACAGTTACACAGTCCATCAACACCTATCACAGTAAAAAAGTTTCTATTGATCTTTATAGAGAATGGGTAATACAGAGAGGTAGTATGTAAAGTCCCCTATAGCTCTATCACAAATGCTAAAGTGAGCGGGTGAAGTGGCTGTAAGTGCTTGTATGCTCAAACATACATATATTTGATCCCTGAGAACCCCTGTTAAGAACAAAACACAAAAAAACCAGGTCAAGTCAGTGAATTCCAGGTTCAATAAAAGAAACTGTCTCAAAAAAAAGGAAAAGAAAAAGAAAGAAATGTCAATGTCTCAGGCAGGCTGAGTAGATTGCTCAGTAGTTAACATACCTGTTCCACAAGCCTGAGGACCTCAGTTTGTATCTCCAAAACTCATGTAAATGCAAAGTGGGCTAGGTGGCCTGACTTTAATTCCAGACTTGAAAGGCAGAGACAAACACTATTGGGACCAGCCATATTAGTGAGTTTTGGGTTTGGCTGAGAGATGCTGCCTCAATGAATAAAGTGGAGGAGTGATCAAGGATGATTCCCAGCATCACTCTCGGACCTCCGCATGTACTCACACAAGTATGTCCCACACGTGTAAACATGTAAATATACACTTCTGCATACCACACACATACACATAAAATGGAAAAAGAAAAAGGTGGAGAGAGGTTGAGAAAGACACCTGATGCCAACCTCTGGCCTCAATGCATACACATATGTGCATGCAAACAGGAAAACATACACAAAGCAACATAGGTATAAACATATTAATGCATATACCACAGACACACCAAAACAAAAACACCCTCAAAGATGCTAAAATGAGTTCTCATAGTTTCTTATATTGTCCTTTAAAATACTTGTATGCAATCCAGTGAACACAAGCACCCAAGACAGCCAAGTCTCAGAAAAACTTTCTTTGGCATTATCTGAGCTTACAGGCTATTTGGAGTTATTAACTCTCAGATAAGCTGTAAACAGGATTTTTCTCTGCTTGTGTAAAATAGCTCTTTCATGTTTTACTTAATTCCTTTTCTTTTTGTAGAACACAGACATTAGTCAATTAAGTTGGGCAAGAACAAATTTGAAATATGTAACAATCTGAGATCACTCTTTCTTGGTCAAACACATCATACTCAATTTCTCCATTTTGGCTCAGTAGTTCTCCTGGAGGCTCCTCAATAATGTACATAATTTGAGGCCTGGAAAGCCCAAATGAGTCCATGAATTATTCAGTTATGTTTAAATGCCCAGCAATGGGCTGCACATGGTGGCACACACCTTAAGTGCAGCACTCAATTTGAGAGGCAGAAAGAAGCAGGTGGATCAATGTGAGTTCAAGGACAGTCTGGGCGACATAGGGAGCTCTGGACTAGCCAGGGTGACACAGTGAGATCATGTCTCAAAAAACAACAAAACAACCCAAAAAACAAACAAAAACCCCCCACGTGGTGGTATGCATCTTTAATCACAGACTTCCAGAGATAGAGGTAGGTGGATCTCTGTGAGATGGAGGTCAGCCTGGTCTACACAGTGGCTTCTAGGCAGGCTGGGCCTAGGGAGACCCTATCAAAACAAACAAAAACTACCCCTTACTCGAATTAAAGGTAAAACAACAATAATGATAAAACTTAAACATCAGCAAAGATATAAGGTTAGTTAGAGGAAAAATCCTATAATAAATGTCTTTCTCAAAGTTTGGTATGTAATAAAAGAATCCTCCTCTTGTATTATATAGTTTGTCACAATTTGGTCTCCTATACTTACCATACATATAGCATCCTCTCTGCAAACTGTAGTCTTTTTAGCATGGTATTTAGCTTACTGAAATTTAATTTTCAGAAAATCAAAATTCTAGCTATAGTTAACTATAGGAAACTAAATTCAAAATTGCTGTGTATCAAAATGAAGATGGTTCTAGTAATTTAGGGACTTTTGAAATAGAAAAAAATTTCTATTTTAAGTGTAAAAATGGATTGTGTTAAATTCACAATAAAAGAAAGGTCAATAAATGGTACTCTGAGCCTATCTGAATTGTGTAAACTGGCCTTTAGACCTTCAGCTACAGCAGTTAAAACAAAGTACAAATGTCTTGGCTGTTTAAACTTTTAAAAAGTTCCTGAGAAACTTTCAAAACTGTACTGTTATGAAGCAGCCTGGTTGGTCAATCATGTTTTTTCAAAAGCTTTCATGATGAAAAAATAACTACCCTGTGGCAACCTAAGACTAAAGAAAATAAGGATGCCAGACTAATGAAAAAAGAGAAATATTAAAATAGTAAGGTTTAATTATATTCTATCTAAATGAAGCATACAAAGGTCAATTTTATTTCTTAAAACTGTTAAGTTAGGAGCTAGGGACATGGCTCAGTGGATAGAGCATGAAGACTGGAGCTGGGATTTCCAGCACCTACATACAAGTCAGGCAGGCATGGTGGCTTATCTGTAATACTTAAAAGAGGCAGAGACAAGTGATGCCTGGGGCGACTTGACTAGCTAGTGTGGTGGAGAGTGTCACAATACACGGGTACCTCAGTAAAGAAAGCCTGACCCTTAGTATTCATTAAAATGAAGAGTAAGTCCGATATATTCTTGAGTACTCCTTTCCTTCTGAGTCCTCTTGGAACAGTTCCCATGAAGAAAGGCCTAGCTCTGTCTTTACTCAAATAGTACACCTAACATGATATGAAAAGGAAAAGAGGAACTTGTCTTACCAGAAGAGGATTTTCCCTTTCTAATCCCTAGTGACCCACTTCAAGGGCAGGGAAGGGTCATGAGGGATTACTACATTTAGCCTACAAGAGGAGCCCAGAGGCACAGTAAGATTGTTTATATTGTAAACAAGCTGAAATAGTGATTAACTTTGGTTACAAGGTTAGGTAAAATTCCCATTTGTAATAGAAGGCATTCCCAGAAAAGCCATTTTCACAGACTAGCCTAATCAGAGCTCCAGAGACACTTTCTCAGTAAATAAAATGAAGTACAATGGTGAACCTCCCCCATCAATTTCTAGCCTTCATATGCACATGGACATATGTGCACATGCACCAGCACATACACACACACACACAGGCAAATACACACAGACATGCATACATCTCTGCACACTGGGTAGGGGAGATGGCCCCGTCAGTAAAGAGCCTGCTGCACACATGCAAATAAAATAAAACACACAAAACCCTCTAAGTCCAAATTGTGGATGTTGTTAAAAATCACAGGTACACTTTAGAGGTAAGGCATAAGAATTAAAATGTGGGGGCTAGGGAGATAGCTCATGATTAAGAGCACAGGCTGCTCTTCCAGAGGATCTGGGTTCACTTTCCAGCACCATATAGCGGCTAACATAAACCACCTGTAACTCCTGTTCCAAGGGATCTCATGCCTGCTTCTGACCTCCAGACACTGTACAACACAGGTACACTTACATGCAAAGCAAAACACATATACACATAAGATAAAAATAAAATTTTAAAAAAGAATTATATAAGTACACTTACATGCAAGGCAAAGCACACATACACAAAAAATAAAAAGAAAAAATTAAAAAAATTATAATATGCAGGGCATGAAGGCGCACGCATTTAATCACAGCATTTGGGAGGCAGAGGCAGGCGGATCTCTGTGAGTTCAAAGCCAACCTGGTCTACATAGTGAGTTCTAGGTCAGCTGGGGCTACAGGGAGACCCTGTCTCAAAAAGACCAAAAAAACCCAACCCTCCCCCCACCCCAAAAAACAGTAATATATAAGTAATTGCTGTTACCTATCATTTTCACCACAAAGTTTCTTGTACTCTGCAGCTACCATCTCATGGTTTTTGCTTTCAAGCAACATTTTTTCCTGTTCCATTTTGAGCATTTTTTCCAAATCTTCCAATTGTCCTTTCTGTTTTAACAACTGAGTTCTAGGTCAGGAAGGAGGGAAGTTAGGTAAATAAATACCTAACTTAAGGCTTAAGATATTTTTAACAAAGAAAATATTTCAGAAAAGAATTAAGTTTATTAATGCATGCAACATAAAATCCATGTATATTTAAATAAATCACCTCTTAAAGTGGCTTGACATATAAAATTTCTTATGTTACCCAAAGAAAATTTGTTTTAAATTAACACAACAAAACATAAATTACCGGTCTTCAAGATCTTTATGTTCCACCTCAAGATTTTTGTGGGCAGATTTTAGAGTTCCATGTTTAGAGATGAGAGACTCGTACTCTGAAGCCTGTCGCTCATGAAGAAGTTCTAGCTTTTCATGATCTTTCATCAGAGAATCATAAAGAGATTTCAAGTCTTCTCGTTCTTTGATTATGGATTCATTTTCATTTTCTAAGGAAGACTGCTGGATTAGAAGTTGTGCATTCTGGTTCATAAGTGACGTACTTTGGGAATTAAGGGTGGAATTTTCAACCTGTAAGAATGTGTTTATCATTAAACGGTATAAGAAAAAGTTGCTGGATGTGGTGCAGTGGTGCATGCCTTTAATCCTAGCACTTGGGAAAAAAAGGCAGGTGGTATCTGTGAGTTCTAGCCCAGCCTGGTCTACAAAATGAGTTCCAGGCCAGATGGGGGCAATGCAGTGAGATCCTGTCTAAGAAAAAATAAGAAAGGGAAGGAGGTGAGAGGGAGGAGGAAGGTAGAAGAGGTAGAAGAAATAGTTCATATTCTTTTTTAATTCTTCCCCTAAATGAATGTAGAGTTGGGCTACTTAGACATTCTTAATCACAATGAAATCATATGTGATCTTATTTCATTTTATTTGCACTGTAGGAGATGGAGCACAGGGCCTCCTGTATACTAAACAAGTGTTAAATCCTCAAAAGCTATATATATGCATACATATATATATATGTATGCATACTCACACATATGAGTTAATGTGGGGGTGAGGGTAACTTGTGAGAGTCAAGTTTTATCCTTCCATTATGTGGGTTCTGGGGACTGAATTCAGCTCGTCAGGCTTAGAGGCAAGCACCCTCATCCCCTGATCCATTTTGTCCTTGACTGGTTTCCTTGTTTGTTTCCTTCCTTCCTTCCTTGTTTGCTCCCTCCCTCTCTTCCTCCCTTCCTCCCTCCCTCTCTCCCGCCCTCCCCCCACTTTCCTCCTTTCCTCCCTCTCACCTACCTACCTATTTTTTAAAGACAAGGTCTCTCCCTGCCTTAGAATTTAGCAATTAGGCTATGCTAGCTAAAGTCTTTGACTTGCCAGCGCTGAAAATACAAGCATGTGTTATCATGACTGGATTTTTTTGTGACTCCTAAGCATTGAACTCAGGTCCTTGTACTTGCAAACACAATACTGACTGAGCTATCAGTCCAGCACACTTGTTCTTTTTAACAAAAAATTATGGTGTTTAAGAATGGCCAATCAGCTGGGCGTAGTGGCATACACCTTTAATCCCAGCACTTGGGAGGCAGAGGCAGGCAGATCTTTGAGTTCCTGGCCAGCTTGGTCTACATAGAAGTTCCAGGCCAGCTGGGGCTGCAGGAAGATCCTGTCTCAAAAAAAGACCCCCCCCCCAAAAAAAAGCAGACTTCACACATATTCATATTATGATGGAAGAGCTTCGATTTTAGCTCCCCAAAGAATAAGATTATTTAATTTTTTCTAGAGCTCAAAAATTATTGCTGTAAAATTTCTCAAGATTCTAATTTAGAATTTATTCCACCACTTGGAAAGGAGGAACAGAAAGAACTTTTAGATCAGAAGGGGAACATGTTTCTCCGCTTTTTCTTGGACTGTTCTGTGTGAAATGATACTGGCAATGCTAAGGTGAAGATGGGTCCTTTGAATAAAGTCTAATGACAAAATTCCTTTCCAATAACTAAACTGCTAAGAAAGTTTTAGAAATTAAGTAAGGAATAATGTATTATGATCATACTCTAAAAAATTAGTACCCGACTAATTAGAATCAACTTGTTGAAATGATACAAAGATCATAAAGTAAATATAAATAAGATCATCTTTACTTATACTTTAGAGGAAAATTTACTAATTCCTTTAGGCTTTGACATAAAAAAAAGGTTCATGTTAAGTCTGGCAAGGGGTCTGGCAAAATGGCTCTCTTGTAGAGAACCCAGGTTCAGTTCCCAGCACCCCATGGAAGCTAACAACCATCTGTAACTACCCTCTTTTGTCCTGTGGGAGAGTTGCACGACACAGGTGCCCTTACATACATGCAAGTGAAACACTCATACATATAAAATAAAAATAAAAGCAAAAAATAAAAAATAAAGAGTCCAGCATAAAACCAAACAAAAATATTTCAATTTGTCTTCAATTATTAAATTCACTGAAACAATGTTTGTATCTAGGCTTCCTTATTTAAATAATATAATTCAAGTCAAACCTGAAGCTTGGCATTCTGTGTTTGAAGAGTGGTATTCTGTTCCTGTAATGATACTGTTTGCCTCTGAAGAGCAAGAATCTGAGCCTGCAAATTATTATTCTGTGTTTCCAGCTGCTTCAGTTGAGTTTTCAGTGCTTGCTTCTCTGCTTGCAGTGTAGCATTCTTTAAAAACAAGAAAAAGCTATCGTACATATTAAACATAAACATGAAACATTTAAAACAATGGAATTGTATAAAATGAACACTTTTTATTATTACAATAAAAACCTTGGATAATCTTGAAAAAAAGAAAAACATTCCCTCTCAATCACAAATTGTAAACAGATATCCAATCTATGAAAATAAGGCAATAATACTATAACTTTAATATACTGTTATGCCTGAGTTCTGTCTGCTTTATAATGTTTTAAAATAAAAGATTCTATTCTAGGGCTGAAGGTATAACTTAGTGGTGCAGGGCTTGCCCGGCATGTGCAAGACCCCAAGTTTAATCCTGTGTACTGAAACACACACACACACACAATCAGTTTCGATTCTGCTTAAAAGTTCTAAGTGGGGGTATATCTACAAAAAGGTCTAACTTTTTAATATATACACAAGTGAGTGGTGGTCCTGGATATAGAAGCAGAGTATTTAGAAGAGAGGCAGGTTTAAAAAATAATCTTAACCATCTATCAAAAATGGCAGGGGGGCCGGGTGTGGTGGCGCACACCTTTGATCCCAGCACTTGGGAGGCAGAGGCAGGAGGATCTCTGTGAGTTCAAGGCCAGCCTGGTCTACAAAGTGAGTTCCAGGACAGCTGGGGCTACAGGGAGACCCTGTCTCAACCCCCCTGCAAAAAAAGGTAGGGGAAGGTAAAGTGAGGGTGAAGAGGGTAAAGATGGGGGAAGGGGTCTGAAAATGGTCAAAGTACATTGTATGAAATACTTGAATCAATAAAATTAAAAAAATTTAGTCCATAATAGATCTAACAGGTGTTACATATTTTATTTTTTTCATGTAATGATAAAAAACTCACTAAAACTCTATTTCAACTATAAGGGCTTTTGGAGCATATCCAAACAAAACATACTATTTTCAATTTTTTCAGTATATGTGGTCATATTTTCATTTTATAGTTAAACAGGTGACTTACTACATTAGTCATTGATTTAATGTGATAGATATTAAACAAGATATTATACATTTAAGATTATTAATAAATTAAATTTCATAAAAACTAAATTTGTGGGGCTGGAAAGATGGCTCAGTGGTTAAGAGCACTGGCTGCTTTTGCAGAGGACCCAGCACCCACATGGTGGCTAACAACTGTTCATAACTTCAGTTCCAGGGGATCCAATACTTTCTTCTGACTTCCTCAGTCAGGCATTGCAGGACATGGGTGCACTTACATACATACAGGCAATATACTCATATACATAAAATAAAAAATAAAAATAATTAAAATAGGGGCTGGAGAGATGGCTCAGCGGTCAAGAACACCGACTGTTCTTGCAGAAAACCCGGGTTTGAATCCCAGTACCCACATGGCAGCTAACAACTGTAACTCCAGTTCCAGGGGATCCAACAGCCTCTTTTGTCCTCTGTGGCACTGCACAACATGGATGCACTCACCTACATGCAGGCAATACATGCATACACATAAAATAAAAATAATAAAATATTAAAAAATAATTAAAATATTAAAACTCCAGAAAATTTGTATCAAAAAGATAAATGAATCCATCTACATAAAAGAAATAAAGTTTTATTTATTTAGTCTTTTTCAGAGAGGGTCTCCCTGTAGCCCCAGCTAGCCTGGAACTTGATATGTAGACCAGCCTACTCAGAGATCTGCCTACCTCTGTCTCCCAAGTGCTGGGATTAAAGACGTGTGCCACCACGTCTGGCCCCCCTGCCATTTTTAATAGATGGTATGTGCCACCATAACTGACAAAAATGAAACTTTAATAAACAAAAAGCCCCTAAGTGAGCTAGCATTGAAATATGCAGAAAAAAGATACAAATGAATCATCATGGTTCAATCATATCTATAAAAGGAGGCAAAGATAAGACTCACTTTTCTATTATCTAAGCAAGGGCTATCTATGTAAAATGGAGGCCATTTGACCCACATATTAAACCATAAAATCAAAGCTGAGGAAGCAAGTTAGGTGTGCTGTAAAAACAGCGGGTAACACCAGTCATAGGAAGACAGAAGAGGAGGGTTTTGCGTTTCAGGCCAGCCTGGGGTACATAATAAGATCCTGTCTCAAACAACACCACCAGCAACAAACAAACATGCAAACAGAAGCTAAGATAGATTTTGATATTGTACTTCTTAAAAAAAATCATTTGTTCAAAAGGAAGAAAAATTTACACTGAAAAAAAATGGACTAATGATATATTTATATAGCATCTTGATATGAGTAAAACATTCTTCCCCTATACCAAGAATGTGAGTGACATGGAATTCAAGAGTTACAGAATAATGTGTTTGGCAGAGGAAATCTCAAGAGAGGCAGCATTCAGACACTGCACTTACTTAGGTCTACTGTGAGAAAAAGCAACAGAGTGAAAAGATCTACAAAACTGGCTGACAGCCGGGAAAGGACAGGCTTTAGAGAGACTGGTTCTAAGAAAACAGCTGTAATTATTAAAGAAATTAGTATCATCAAAGAGAAACCCTGTGCTCTGCACTGGGACAATAGGACAATAGTCCAAGGGGACTAGACTAATCTTAGGCTGGCAGAACTTGACAGCACTGGTCACACGGTACTGGCTCTGCAGATGTAACTGCTGCTAAATCTTGGTGATAGACTTAGATGAGAATGACAGACTAGCATATTAAACTGTTAGATCTATTCTTTTTTCATATGATAAACTAGTAAAAGTATAAAATGAAAGAAACCCCTACAAATGCAGGTGAACTTTTTGAATTTATCAAAGAGTAGCCAATGATCCTCTATTTCTGAAATACTTTACTCCTTCTAAAATTTCAAAAAATACTTACATTTCTTTCTACTTCAATCAATCTGTCTTTAACTTTTAGGAGCTCTCTAGTTGTTTCTTGACTTTCTCGCTCCCATTTGTTATCTCTGCCAGATGCTAGAAGTGAGCTCTGCACCATTGTTTCTTCATCTTGTCTCTGTTTGAGAGCTTCATAATTTTTTTTCACCTAAAATTTATTTAAAATATTTTAATGGGAAGAATAAAAATCACCAAGATTATTATAATTCTCACAATGGCTTTGGTCTGTCTGTACTGGTCTGGTGAACATGAAAGGATGCTTTATTTGAAAAATGTTTGGCCACCATTACTATGATTACAATTTGAGCTTAGTAAAATGCAAATTCTGGGGCTGGAGCGATGGCTCAGCAGTTAAGAGCACTTGATGCTGTTGCAGAGGACCTAAGCTCAATATATGCTGCATGCATATATAGAAATATTACACCAAATCATATTCAAGAGTACAATTAATTAATAAACAATAAAGAACAATCAAGGATAATAAACAACAAAAAGAAAATGATCCTCAAGAATAGATTAACTGGACATTGATATACTACTAGATAATAATAATCATTTTTAGAGAAATCTATAACCAATTTAGAAATCCTATGTAAAGAACAAAGATTTGACACATAGTAACAACTGGCTTAAAAATATATCTAAATGAAGGCTGGGCATGGTGGCTCACAACTTTAATCTCAGCACTTGAAAGGCAGAGGTAGGAGGATCTGTGAGTTTGAGGCCAACTTGGTTTACATAGAGAGTTCCAAGCCAGCTAGGGCTACAGGGAGACCGTCTCTCACAAAATACAGCAAACATCAATAACAACAAAAGATATCTAAATTAAAGTTAAGGTAGTATATCTTTAGATGCCTGGTCTTTTAAGAACTGTATTATTACCTAGAATGAACGATATTAACAAGACAGTGACTTGTTCTCATTTAGATTTTTTTTGATCCACACACACCATTAGTTTAATTTACTTTGTATTGAATAATTCAAAGATATATCTTGTGTAGGAATTTTTCACTTTTGAATGGACTCCATGCTCCTTCTGCCTCCACCTCTCAAGTGGTAGGATTACAAGTGTCAGTCACCACCTTGGGCCTCAACTTAACTCAAAGTAGATTACATTAATACCAGAAAAGACTGGATAACACACAGTCTTGAATTACTACTGAAGTAAAACATTCATTTCCCATAACCAAAATGACCAGATTTAACGTCTCTCTTTAATTCAAATATACTATCATACTTAATTTGATTCCTTAATTTATCTTGGACAATTATCATACATTTTTAAGTTAACATATTTTGTATTAAGCACAGAAATGATTAAAACAGTTCATGCTGGCCAGCACTTGGAAGGCAGAGGCAGGCGGATCTCTGTGAGTGCAAGACTAGCCTGGTCTATATAGTGAGTTCCAGGTCAGCTGGAGCTACAGGGAGATAAAAAAAAAAAAAAAAAAAAAAAAAAAAAAAAAAAGTTTATGCTGTACAAAACTTAAGAAAGCATTTAGTTCAACAATAAACTAATACTTCCACCAGTGAGTTAGAAAATAACAAGATTAAACTGAAAAGTGCCAAGATGGAATGTAGCACAAACCTTGGCAAGTGATCCAATGGTGTTCTGGGAGACTCCTATGTTAACACAACCTTTTCTCCATGCTTAGGAATAATAGATAAATGTCATTATGCAGAAGAAAAGCTGATATGGAAGAAAAATGTGATGCATATTTCCAGTATACACTATTTTGTTTTTGTTTTATGAAGAATTGAACTATTTCTGGTAACAAGAATAAATGGTGGAAAATGATAAAAAAAAAAAGAGCCAGAAATAAATTCAAGGCTTCTCATTTTTATTGTTAAAATGTTCCTTTAGCTCCTATATCACTGCTCAAAATCTTTAACTGAAGATCAACCCATGCTCTGCTCTGAGACTGAAAAAAAAAAAAACCTTTTAACTTATATTCACACAGAAAATGAATAAATGGAGTCAGAATAATCACTTTAACAAAGTAATGTAGCAGTAATTTAAATTTAAAGCCAATTAAGTTAGTTAACGTAATTAAAAATATAGTATTTGAATCATATTGTAAATTCAAATTTTCAGTGATTCTCAAAGAACTGAGGTATAATTTATACATAGTTTTCTTTTTACAAAAATATTTTACTTTATGTGTATGACTGTATTGCCTGCATGTAAGTGTACCATGTTGTGCAATGCCCAAGGTCATCAGAAGATGGTGTCGGATCCATTGGAAATGGAGTTAGAGACGGTTGTTAGCTGCCGTGTGGGTGCTGGGAACCAAACCCAGGTCCCTTACAAGAGCAGTCAGTGCTCTTAACTGCTGAATCATCTCTCCAGCCCCAATTTATATATAGCTTCCAATGCATACAGTCTAAGCAAAATTTGGTCGTTTTTTAGAGTAACACATACCTACTATATAACTCATCAACATGACAGAATATTTCTATCACTTTGGAAAGATCACTGCTTACGAGGCAACCATTATTTTGCTTTCTTCACTAAAATTTAGGTTGCCTATTCTAAACCTTCATATGAATTAAATCAAGCAGTATATAATCTGTGTCTTTTTCTGAGCATAATTTTAAAGCTTTACTGACATTTTGAGTGTATCAATAGTCTTTTCTATTGTTGTATTGTCTTTTATTATATGAACATGGCAGCATTTGCTTATTCATTAAAACTTTAGTGTATACATATTAAACGTATTTTATGTGTATGAGTGTTTTAAAAGCCTGAATGTATGTAGTGCACCTTTGTTGTGTAATGCCCATGTAGGCCAGAAGAGGATGGTGGATCCCCTGGAGCTGGAGTTGCAGATGGTTAGTCACCACGTGGGTCCTGGGAACTGAACGTTGGTCCTCTGCAAGAATAGCCAGTGACCTTAACTACTGAGCCATCTCTTCAGCCTTGTGTATATACATTTATGTAGGTGTACATATATGTGAACATGCACGTGGAAGCCTAAGGTTGATATTAGGTGTACTCATCAAACGTTCTTCTTGAGACATTTTTTCTTTGTTATTCTAATTGATTAATTAATTAAATAATTAATTAATTTTGGTGTTTTTGAGACAGAGTCTCCCTGTAGCCCCAGCCAGCCTGGAACTCACTACTGGCCTCAAACTCAGAGATCTGTCTGCCTCTGCCTCCCAAGTGCTGGAATTAAAGGTGTGTGCCATCACGCTGGGCCCTCTTAATTTATTTAAAAATATTTTTTTGATTCGCTAGACTGGCTGGCAAGCAAGCAGCAACTATCCTTCTGTCTCTGTCTCCCCAGTACTTGGATTACAGGCACATGCTGCCATGCTGATGGAGTGCATGGCAAGCACTTTACCAATTGAGCTATCTCTGCAGCCCCAATTTCCAGTTTTTAAGAAAGAAGGTATGATAAACTGGGTGTGGTAGTGCACGTTTTTAATCCCAGCACTTGGGAGGAAGGGCTCTGTGAGTCTGAGGCCAGCCTGGTCTATATAGTGAGTTCTAGACCAGCTAGGGCTACAGGGAGACACTGTCTCAAAAAGACAGAAAAAAAAAAGATATGATAAATCAAGTGGTTATAAAAATTCATTTACTGGGGTTGACAAGATGGCTCAGTGGATGAAAGCACTTGCAGAGAACCTGGGTTTGGTTCACAGTACCCACAATGCAGTTCACAACTGCCTAAAACTCCAGTTCCAGGGGACCTGACACCCACTTCTGGTCTCTGTGGGCATTCAATCTAAGTGGTATACAGATATACACGCAGGTCAAAGACACTCATACACATGAAAATAAGTTAAAACAAATTAAAAATTTTCATTTACTGTTGGGAGCCAGAGGCTCAGCCATTTCTCAAAACTGCTGACAGACCTGAGTTGGTGACTTTCCATTCTGTCCACCCTCCTCCTGCGGACATGGGAAAGTGCCCACAACCTTGGCTCATAGCCGGGGCTCGTAGCCCACGGCCTTGCTCTAGTTATTGTAAATAGCCCTGTTTTCTGTTGATCAGTAGACTCTCGCAGGCAAGGGATGGAGCCTGCGGCCTTCACCTGTGGTCTTGTTTTCTTTTCCAGTAACTGCTTTGCTCTTAGTGGATTCCTCCCTTGGAGTGCACCTGGGTCTTTGGTATCTGGCTGATATGATTCAGTCCAGTCTGCACTTCTTATTTAACTGTATGCTTGTGCTTCAATAAACGAGACTTGATCAGAGCACTGTCTTGTCTCCATTTCTCTTGCCCCTTGCCTCATCCACATCTCCACTCCCCAATCCCGGTACCCCGTTGCAGACCCTGCAGGCTGGGGCAGAGTGGCGCCCAACGTGGCCTGGATACTGGGGACAACGTGAGGGACACGACGAAAGAAGAAGGGGTGCGCACCCGATCAAACAATAGTTTGGAGAAGTTGCGGTAGCCTGCTGTGACCGAGCCGACAGGTAAGATGGTCGTCAATCATGGGGCAAGAATTAAGTCAGCATCAAAAGTATGTGATGCAGTTAAGAGAAGCGCTACAGGCAAGAGGAGTAAAGGTTACAACTGAGGATTATTTATTTCATTTCTTTGATTTCGTACAGGACATTTGTCCTTGGTTTCCCCAAGATGGGGTCATAGATGTAAAAAAATAAATAAAAAAGTGGGAGATGCATTACAAGATTTTTATACAGTGTTTGAACTGGGAAAGGTCCCGGTTACTGCTTTTTCTTATTGGAATTTAATAAGAGAGTTAATAGATAAGAGAGATGGACATGAGCCAGTAGTGGCAGTTGCCCAAGCTAAAGAGATTTTCAGAAGTAGTTCTCAGTCAGAGTTGAGGGAAATTCCGGATACTCCCAAGGACGTGCCTGACTTAATTGCTTTTGATAGTGAAAACAAGGGTTTTTCTGTAAATTAAAAAATAAAATAAAATAAAAAAGAGATCCTCTGAGTCAGTTAGAAAGGACAGATATAAAGAGAATGCTCACAAGTCTGAAAAAGAATATATTGGTATTTATCCTCTTTTGGCAAAAGCTGCCTGTCCAGCCTCAGATACAGATAGCTCAGAGCCTGAGAGGGAGAAATTGATTTATAAAACTGAGGCTGAGTTGCCAAAAGACCATAAAAAACAAGAAGGTGACCGCCCTCCTTCTTACAATGTACCATCTGTTCCAACTCTTATGGCAGC